AAAAAAAAAAAAAAAAAAAAACATTCAGACATTGCAACAGTTCAAAAAGAATTTCCTACAGCATTAAGGAATTCTAATCATTCTTGTACGTCAATGTATTTAAGGTGTAACCACACAAACAACTCTAAGCAGCCCTGTTCAGATCCACTTAATTTGTAAACTACCCTCCGCGGTTCTAATATTCAAAACTCTAATTTAGTGGATGGTAAAGAGATTTATGAAATAACCCATCATAACTTCACATTCAAGTGAAGCTAATACAGAGAATTCCATCAGTAAAATCATCTAAAAGAAACATCACCCAAAAATTCCATTGGCCATTCGTCAACAACCATATAGCTCAAAATACCAAGCACCATAAAATCTAAGCAAAAATAAGAAACGCCCAGATCTTGAAAAGGGGAGAGGTAAGGAAGAGAAACGATTTCGAACCTTTCCTGGCCAGCAGTATCCCAAATCTGGGCCTTGATGACCTTGCTATCGACATTCAAGCTCCGAGTAGCAAACTCAACCCCAATGGTGGACTTGGACTCGAGGCTGAACTCGTTTTTGGTGAACCTGGAGAGCAAATTGGACTTGCCCACGCCGGAATCTCCAATCAGAACCACCTTAAAGAGGTAGTCGTAGTCATCTTCAGCTCTGTAGCCGGCCATCACAGTGCCCCCTTCTGAAGAAGAAGTTTGGTTGGAGTAAGGGAAGGGGAAGGGGCAATGGCTAGATCTCTGCGTGCTCGCTTTTGGGGGGTCCTTTCTCGATACTCTAGAGATTGTGAATTCCACGGGTTGGCCTGTGCTGGGCTGGACTCCAAATAGATGGAGGAGAACACGTCTCTTTTTCAAATTTTGGAATTGGAATTGGTCCCTTTTTTTTCTTTTGTTCTAGAAAGCTGTTGAATTGACGCCAATGCCCAAACTCTACTCGCTGGTGGAACTGGTTAAAGAAGGACATTTTCGTCATTTTCAATCATGGAAGCTTATTTATTTATGGGAGGGAAAAAGTGTGACACTCCCGAATCTTATTTCAAGTNTTTAAATTTTTTTTTTTTTTTTTTTTTATTTAGAAAATTGTTAAATGAAATTTAACTTTAAATAATCTAAATATCAGCGGCAAAAATAAATAAAATATTAAGTTATAACACTTTTATACTTTTTTTTAATTTTAAAAAATATAATAAGTCGGAAATAAAGTATTAAGTTATAACAATTCCATACCTTTTTTTTTTATTTTAGGTAAGTTTTCGGTTGAGGTGGAATTAATGATGCTAACTTTTAAAAGAATTNAGAATTAGGATAAGAAAACAAAATTCAGCAAAAAAAAAAAAAAAAAAAAAAAAAAAGGAAAATAAGATTGCGTTTGCCGGGAGTCGAACCCGGGTCTATTGCTTGGAAGGCAATTATCCTAACCGTTGGACTACAAACGCTACCTGTTGGTTTTCTACAAAGTTATATAAATAAATAATAATATTTCTATTTTGGCAAAAATGTCGGAAATATCCATTTCCTATTTTATAAAATATTTATAAATACAAAGTATAATGTTTAAACCGTAGATAATTTAATCTAACTTAATATTTTCGTAGTAAATGAAATAATCTATTAAAATTCAAGAATAATGATTATTTTGATTTCATACCAGAAAAATTCTAAATTAATCCAACGTTATTTTGTCTCGCTAATATAGGAATGTATAAAATGTTGGGAACCTCGACCTTTTATAATGGTATGATAATTTTTAATTTAAGTATAAGTTTTCAAATTTTTTCTTTTAATTTATCGAAAATGTCTCATACCAATAAAAATGTGTTACTTATTAATAAACTCATTATGTTTCCTCATAATTAGCCATGCGAGACAGAGAATACAGAATACCTTCCGTACATAGAATATAGAATATAAGGACAACAATATATCTTTATACATTTTGGTGTATTTTACCATTTACCATTAAAACTAGTCCTCAAGCTTAATGGAATTAAATATATAAATAAATAAAAAGAGAACAATTTAGAGATAAAATAGAATATTTTTAAAAAAATGTTAATTATAAAATATTTTGCTAACTTCAATTTTTTTTTTCTTTTTTGTCGTATTTTATGTTAAACATTTAGGAACGATATATTTGTTGGATTGTGACACATAAAGAAAATATGAATAAATAAAATCAAAGATACGTACAACAACTTCATACTTGGCCATCCCTATCTTATAGTTCTCTAAATTTCACGGTCGTCAACATCTTCCTCGCCAAATTTCAACCTATTTTCTCTAAAAATTTCATGACCCTCAAATATATTTATATCGTTAGACCACAATATTTTACATTTATAGTTATATTAATTATTTGAAAAATATTACAATTACAATTCTAACCTTGTAAGAAGCAAATTTAAGATTTTGTTTTATAAAATTGAGTGATTTGGGGAGAATTTAATTATATATAACTAATGTAAGTATGAATAAGTAAATTAGGGAAAATTAAATAGAGAATAAGAATGGTTAAAAATTTATTGTAAAGATGGATATAAAATGTAGAAATTGGATTTTTGTGATCAATATAATAGAAAGTTGAACGTTGAATATTTGACTTACCACTTTATTGAACTAAACAACAAATAAATAAATAAATTAAAAAAAAGGGGAGGGAGAATTGGGGGTAAAATTACGAAGACAGGGCGGGGGAAGTGGGCGGCTAAGGGGCAACATTTGATTCATTTCCCGTCATTTAATGGCACAGAAATTCAAAAATCCGCTGTCTTTTGACTTCTCCAATCCCCATACTATTTGCTTTTGGAACCTTCCTTCTTTTTCCACATCCTCCACAGTCCATTTTCTACCTCCCTTAATCAATTCAATGTCCCCCAATTCCGATTTAATTCCGACCTCTAAAAAGTTAAATAAGAGTCTCGTTCTTGTTTCTTCTGTAGCTTCCCACGCGGGTTTATATGTTGTACACGCCCCCCTTCCTCAAATCCACATTTTCTAATTCCATTTTCTTCTCTCTTTCTCTCTCTCTCTCTCTCTCATGGCTGCCTCCACCAACAAATCTTTACTTCCCCTCCTCCTCCTTCTTCTTCTTCTTCTTCTTCTATCCTCCATTTCCCCATCTGCCCAATCCAGAAGCCTCAACATCAACAGGCTCTTCTTCGCCGCTCTCCCAAAAGGCTCCACGCCGCCGTCTGCTCCCAGCGATAAAACCCACGCCGGTCTCCCCGCCCAGGACTGCCTCCGTGGTCGCCGCCTCATCCCCGCCCATCCCCCACATTATTATTACAACAATCGAATCCTCCGCTCCGTCCCCAGCCCCGGTGTCGGCCATTAACAGCTTCCCAGTAATCATCTCTTTCTCTCTCTCTCTCTCTTTTTAAATTTGATTCTCAGGTTTATCAGCGTACATAAATTAGGAGAAATTGTTGTTCCTTGTCAGCTCTTCCTGATTTAATTTTGTCCCTATCATTATTAATTATTATTGAACTCTTAATCTCTTGGTTTATTTAATTACGACTTCATTATTTCAATATTTTTACACTGTAAACTTATACTTCAAAAAGAGAATAAATTAATTATTTAAAATAAGCTCCTTTTCAAGGCCCCATTGTTACTAAAGATAATTTGGAATAAAGATTATTACTATTAATTATTACTAATATTGGAAATCAACGTTAAATTTAAATGAACATTTCCAAATAGATGAATGAATAGAAATAGGGTTAACTTTAAGGGAATAATTTAATTTCTCTCTTTTTTTTTTTCTTTAAAAAAATAATTTCATAAAATAATAAAAATGAGAATAAAAAAAATAAAGCTGAAAAATTCTCATCCTTTAATTTCAACCTACCTTGTTCCATTCTCATTTCATTAATTCCATCCCTATTAATAGGCATAAAGTAATTAAAATTGCGTCAATAACACACCATATTCCCTTCTCTACCAATATTTTGTACTCTTTGTTTCATATTTGTGTAATAACTTCGAGATCCGTGTTTATTTGGTTTTTGAACTTATACGGTATTTAATAAGTCTTTAAATTTTCAATTTTATGTAGGGGTATTCGTACGACCCAATAATATTATCGACCCGAAATATCCAATCCTACCTCGATTAATTTTATATAGGGTTGGGTTGAATTTTTTAAATATCAAATTCGATTCGATTGGCAAGTAGATATTTTTCTTAGTTAGATCAATCCAAACAACTCGAAAATAGGGTTGCAATCCAACTCAACTCTATCCCTACTCTTGAAAAAATTAAGGTATTTAACATTTATAATCGATGCTAGTGATACATTGTGACTGATAAATGTTTGACATGAAGATATTTTAGTTATTGATGTAATATGTACAGTGAATAATTAATTTTTTTTAAATAATTTTAAAAAGAATAACTTGACAACTCCCTAATTCAAAAATAGACAGTTAGATTCCAGTTGGATTGTGAATTATATTTCAATCCACTTGAAATTTTAAATTGGTTAAAGATTTTTCCAATCTAATTTTACTCAGACTAATAAAAAATAAAATTTTAAAATTTAATATGCGAACATTCTAGACACCTGAAGAATTAAACTTTTATTTTAACTTAATATTTATTAAAAAAAATTCCTTGGTTTTTTAAGAATATTATCTACCTCAAATTAGGTATAAATCACCCTAATTTTATTTGATAAAATAAAAAAAATCCATAAATCCAAATAAAAAACACTCAACCCATCCAAAACAAATAAAATGCCAAATCCAACTAAAATAAATGTTATCACAAAATTTAATAATTTTTTAAAAGAATATTACCATATATATGTAAGGAAGATGTTATTAAATATATTTATTCAAATTCAATATTTAACTAAATGGTAATAAAATTATAGATTAAATTATTTTTTTGGACCTATATTGTTGAACAAATAATGGAAATTTCTCAAAATAATTTATTTAATCAAACAAAAAAATTTGTCACATCATATGATTGTATTAACTTCATTCCAATTATGAAGATATATCCATTAATTAAAAAAAAAAAAAAAAAAAGACATCCATTTAATTTCACTTTTCAAAAAATTAAAAAGAAAGAAAAATCCATTAATTTCGAGTGTTTTCAAGTGTTATGGAAAAGTGCAAAAAGAAAGACTAAAAGCGCTTTCAGTGGATATAATTATTATTATCGTTAAATAAAGGAAATTGGTGCACCATTTTTATTTTAATTTATACTCATAATTAAATTAAAATGACTCAAATTTGAAATAATTTAGGAGAGATACATAAATAAATCGAGAACACATCCAAGTGAGAGTGATTCTGAGAATAGAGTGATTAAGAAATACTTAAAAGAATTGAGAGTCACTACTCATAGTCTTCGTAAACTTGTTCATAGAGTTTACTCGAGGTAGGTAAGTGATATAAGAACATGCTGATTAAATATGATAAAAGTTTAAAAATATAATATTATTTAAAAAAAATGTCAAAGGTTTGGCATAAAATCAAAATTGAATTGATTTAGCTCCCTTTTGTGTGGGAATAAAAAAGAAAAAGGGTCCATCAAAACCATCCCATGAGCCCTACAAAGCATTTAGAACACTAAAGTTTAAATATAAAGAGGTAGCTTACTTGTCACTACATCCCTCCACCTGTCCATCTTTTTTAAATGGACAAAACAGTATCATCAAACCACCCAACAAAACAAAGCAAAAAAAGAAAAACATTTATAATTTAAGATTCATGGGTCCAACTTGAGTGTATTTTGCTGACCTGCTAGCTTGACTAGTGAGAAAGTCCAACATGAACCACTTGGGCTTGGGCAATTTGGAATGGAATTTTGTGATCCTCATAAGCCCACACCAAAAACACTGTCCAGATCTTGTCGACAGATTGCGGCATTGTCCTCAGAAATGTCCCTTTTTTTGGGATTTTGCTTCAATGGCCACGCTCTCGTTGTCTTTTGGTAATAAGGGCTTGTGGGTGCATGCGATGGAGGCCGATGGATGTTATACTTCACTTCCCCAAATGGGTATTCAATCATCTACTCTCTCATGTCCTTTCATTCTCATCTTTGTCACTGTTTTTCTTACTGTTTGATCCAGGATGAAGTTCTTTCTGAGCATGGTGTATTTTAAATGATGGGTTATCTTTTATTTCATCCCTATCGATTGGAGAGAAGAACAAAATATTCTTTATAAGGGCGTGAAAACCTATAACACATGCATTTTAGAAACCTTGGGGAAGACCCCACTAAGGCGTCGCCTTCCTATTTTACTTTGAATGTTGTCTATAAGTCTGGATTGAAGATATGCATTTTAGAAACCTTGGGGAAGTCCCCACTAAGGCGTCACCTTCCTATTTTACTTTGAATGTTGTCTATAAGTCTGGATTGAAGATCTTTCTGGGCAGGAAACTCGCCACACGATGTAACACATCACCTATTTGATGAAACTTTGCTCAAATTTATTGAGTTCCTATGTTTTTTTGGGACAGCCACATGAATGAATGTGTTTTGTCTCTTTTTGCAGCGCTTCAAAAGTGAGAACACAAAGATGAGGTTCATTGATAAAGCTTGTCTGCTAAGGAAAGTGTCTTCCAGCTAAGTCCCCAAGGTAATGAACACAAAGATTAGAGTTTTGGTTCACACTCCATATTCCTTTATGCTTTTCCATACACAACTCTTATCCTTTAAGTCATCTTTTGTACCATCTTTGCGTTAAGAAAACATTCTCCATGAAAACCTTTCTTTACTAGACGCGTCTGAAAAGGCTGTTACACTTAAAAGAGTTTTAATGGGCTTGCTTTCTTCTTTCTGTAGTCCCTAACTAAGTTCTTACAAATCTTCCTCCCTTATCAGACGTAATCTAGATGAATATCAATCAAACTGAGGCAATACTCGTTAGAACTTTCCCAGAGTCATCAAAATGGACCAATATGAACATATGAAGACTGGAACATTTTAAATTCCTCATATCACAGTCCCTAGACGTGAAGTGGAGTTAATAGAAAAATGTTGAAAGTAGGGTCCCAACCTCCTTTTGCTGTCGTCTTAGAATATGAACACAAGGGTAGTAAGATTGCAGCCACATTTTTTATAGGTCCGTGGTCGGTCAGTTTGATATGGTGAAGACTTAAAGTCATGATAATCAAGCTCAATCTCTATCTCTATCTCTTTGAATTCTGGGAAATCCATACCTTTCAAAAAAGTATATATATATATATATCATGTTTTTTTTTGTTCGATAGATACACATATATCTTAATTAGTTGATCTGTCTTGACAATTAGACATATGTACTTTTAGAGTCAGTATTTTTGGGTTGGCTGGTTCCTTGGTCCAACCCATCCAATTAAAGATGACAACCTAACTCATCCCTAGTATCATAAAAATTTAGAGCTTTGGTTGGCGAGAATGAATATAGTCTAACTCAACCCAACCTTTTTGATTCGGGTTGGGTTGATCAATTTTTTCAAGCACGGTAATTAATCTCCTATATATGGTTAACCAAACTTAGGCTGAATTTCTAAATCTGCTATTAAAAATATATTTAAAAACATAAAATAAAGTTGTTATTATTATTATTTTAAAAATGTTCATTTTTAGTTAGTCAAAGATCGGAAATATTTTTTAATCATAATTCTCGGATTCCAAACCACATAAATTTATTTTTTATTCTCCCTACCTAATTTTTAGAGACATTTTGTATCACTTCCATTTTATTTTCTTAGCATCACGATGAATGAATTTCCAAGAAACTATACATTACAATTAAAATTAATTAAATCATAAAATTTCATAAATCAATATAATCATTAATTTAGAGTTTTAATTATATTATTCATATTTTTCTCTATGACAGCTAATTTCCGAAATTAAGGAAGGGTAGGTTTGGAAGATGGACTCAACTGGTTGGCTATCCACCAAACTGGCACCGCTGCGGTGATGCTTTACGTAAACGACAGTCCAATATAATAATGACACGTCATTAATTAAACCAAATAACGCAATAAAAAAGTCCACGGCGACAGCATTATTTAATTGAGTCAAGTCAAAAGCACCCGTCCCGATGGGGTTTTTTTTTTTCTTAATTGAAAAAATCGATATCTGACGTCAGCTAGCAAAGTCTTTGACTTCAGACCCTTTATAACCACGTGGCGGTCTTTTAATGGTTGGAAATTATCGAATCGGTACGCAACTTGTCGGCCTCTTAATTTTGCCACCAGGCTACGTGGCAGATTTAGAATCCGAAACGTGGAGGTTTTTAATTGGCTTTCAGTCTCCTCAAAATGTAGCCATGGGTGGAATGGAAAAAAATAAACTCTTTAATATTCCACCATTTTGAATATTCTGCTACAAATATCCATTTAATTTGATTTTTCTCTTCTTTTGCTAAATTAAACTAAAATTCTCTGTCCCACTTTTTATATATTAATATCTCTTGCAAATAAATAAAAAAAAAAATTAAATGTTAAAAGTTATGCTGTATTATTAAAATTTTAGTATTTAAAAATTATATTAGAACATTATATTAACTAAACGAAGAAAAAAAAAAGAAAAGAGAACGATGAACTAAAATAATTATTTTTAAACGAATAAAAATTAAAAATATGAAAATTATAATGAATATTTTGAAAGTAATTATGGAAAAGAATATATAAGAGGAATACTAATAATTAATTACAGTATATGAAGTAATCCTAAAAAGCATTGTTTTTTTGTTTTCATAGAAAAAAAAAACAATACTTTTGAAAATGGGTTAATAAGTTTAAATTAAATGATTAAAATGTTTGAAGGGAAACCAAAAATATTCAACTGCCAGCTCAACCACAATAACTACTGGGCCCCACTGACTTTTTCCTAGTCAACCCTTCCTCAAATTCCACTACATACAAAATACTCCACTCCACCATTAGATTACATTTCTATATATTTTAAGAAAACTAAAATTTAAGAGGGAAGAATAATAAATTTTGTTCAAATTTGATAATATATAAGATTAAAAAAATTAGTTAAAATATATTATTACTTCTCACTCTATATTTTATTTTGGTTAATATTTTAAAATTTGAAAAATGTTGGATAATTTTATTTTTAATAGAATTATAAATATTTCATTTTCAAGAATTTAAAATATATCAAACGAGTCAAGAATATATATATATATATATATATATATATATATATTTTTTTAAGGTGGAAAAATCATAGTGCGTTTAATTCTTAATTGAGAGCATAGAGTAGAAGAAATGGACAGGAATCTGTGATAAATTTATCGTCAAACCTTTGGAACGTCACTTTCCCCGGTACTGGCCGCCATTGCTAATTCATGGACGATCTTACAATTTCTCGCTTCCCTTGATCGAACGCGGAATCCCCATTTCCCGTTGTTTGTTTCTTCTTTTTTTATAAAGCGATCCTTTTCCGTTTCTATCTTCTTGTGTTTTTCAATTCTCCATTAATCAGCAACTTGCTTTGCTTCTTGACCCACCAATTGGCGCAACTCTCTTTGTACAAATTACGGTTCTTCGTCTCGTTTAACTCTGATTTTGATCTGTGGTTTTCTTTTTCTTCCAAGATTTTCGAGTTTTCTGTTCTTTTTCTTCCGATTTTGCATCGTCAATTTCTCGGTGCTTTGCTGAATTTCGGTAACCCTAGAATTTGGGGGTTGGTGGGGGTTTTATGGCTGCCGCTGCGATTTTCTCGTCTTTACGGAGAAGGAGATCGCCGTCCTTGGAGGTATTTTTGGCCCCTGTTGACCTCTCCGATGTGGCCTTAGTTCGAACCCTGGCGATAGTTGCGATGGAGCTCGTTTCCCGATTTTCACAGAAATTTTTCTTCTTTCAGCGGAGGAATTCGCGATCTCTGATAAGGAAACTGGAGGTGTGTTTAGTCTTTTTGGACTGTTTGAAGGATTCCGGTGCTACTTTGCCTCACACGGCGTTGCTCTGTTTGAAGGAGCTTTATTTGTTGTTGTATCGGTCGAAGATACTCCTTGATTATTGCTCCGAATCGAGTAAGTTATGGATGTTGCTTCAGAACCACTCGATTTCGGGGCATTTCAATGATTTGAATTTGGAGTTGTTGACATTTTTTGATGTTTTCCCTTTTGAGGAAGTTGAATTAGCTGTGGATGTTAAAGAACAGGTTGAGCTCTTGCAAAAGCAATTGAGAAGGACTAGGATGTTTGTTGATGAATGCGATGAGGTGTCGAGGGTGCGCTTCCTTTCGTTTCTCGATGAATTTGAGAATGGGAGGCTTCCGAATCCGAGGGAATTGAGGGAGTTTTTTGTGGATAAGTTGAAGATTCGGAATGCTAAGTGTTGTAGAGCTGAAATTGAGTTCTTGGAGGAGCAGATTGTCAATCATGAGGGCGACGTTGAGCCAACCTTAGCAGTGTTAAATGGTTTTGTTGCTTTTACTAGATATAGTAGATTTCTCCTCTTCGGATTTGAGGAAGATGAAGTTGATTCAGGTGCAGGAAACCAGAAGAAGCTGAAGAAGAACTTGATTAGCCAGGAGATTGCTGAGACGCTTTTAACGATTCCGAGGGACTTCTGCTGCCCGATATCACTGGATTTGATGAACGATCCGGTGATCATTTCTACAGGTCAGACATACGACCGCAGTTCGATTACTAGATGGATGGAAGAAGGGCACAGCACTTGCCCAAAGACGGGGCAATTGCTCGTTCATACCCGCCTCGCTCCCAACCGCGCGTTAAGGAATTTGATCATCCAATGGTGCATTGCCCATGGAGTTCCTTATGATCCACCAGAAGGAATGGATGCATCTGCTGAAAGTTATGCAATGGCCTCTCCCACACGTGCTGCGCTTGAAGCCAACAGAGCAACAGCTATAATCCTTATTCAACAGTTATCAATCGGATCGCAAGATGCAAAGTCGATTGCTGCTCGTGAGATTCGTTTGTTGGCCAAAACAGGGAAAGAGAATCGTGCGTTCATCGCAGAAGCCGGTGCAATCCCCCATCTTCAAAAGTTGCTGGCTTCCCCAAACCCAGTTGCACAGGAGAATTCAGTGACTGCTATGCTTAATCTCTCAATATATGACAGGAACAAGAGTTTGATTATGAGTGAGGTAGGGTGTTTAGGATCGATAACCGAAGTGTTGAGATCTGGGCATAGTACAGAAGCACGGGAAAACGCTGCAGCTACGTTGTTCAGCCTCTCTGCAGTTCATGACTACAAGAAGAGAATAGCAGAGGAGAGTGGTGCAGTTGAAGCCTTGGCAGGGTTGTTGAGAGATGGTACCCCAAGAGGAAAGAAGGACGCTGTAACAGCTTTGTTTAATCTCTCAACGCATACCGATAACTGCGTTCAGATGATAGAGGCCGGAGCAGTAACAGCGCTTGTAGGAGCATTGGGGAACGAAGGTGTTTTTGAGGAAGCAGCTGGTGCATTGGCCTTGATTGTTAGACAGCCCGTTGGAGCCGAAGCAGTCGCTAAAGAGGAGAGAGCTGTGGCAGGATTAATAGCAATGATGCGATGTGGTACACCAAGAGGAAAAGAGAATGCAGTAGCAGCTTTGCTCGAGTTATGCCGGAGTGGAGGCGCTGCCACGACCGAGCAAGTGTTCAAGGCTCCCGCTTTGGCTGGGTTGCTCCAAATGCTCCTATTTACTGGTACCAAGCGAGCAAGAAGAAAGGCTGCTTCGCTAGCTCGAGTGTTCCAAAGATGTGAGCATGTTGTAATGCATGGGGTTGGTTATGCCTATCCAAGTAACTCGGCTTCTAACAGGGACTCCAGCTTTGCTAGCGAGGTGTCTGTGCCGATATCCATCTCGGTACCGGTCGTGTAGTCACGCTGTTCACTGTTCCCCAATTTTGTTCAAACGTTAACCGATTCTTTGATTGAAATATTAGAACGGAAGGATTATAGCCACAACCATGTCCATATTTTATGAAACAATGGTTGCTAGTAATGATGTAATCTACTCTTCGTTTTACATACTTGTATCCTTGCTGTAATAGAAAATATTTATTGGCAAAAATAGAGGCTCTGTTACAACATTCATCACTTCGATCCTGGAACTAGGATGAGCTCTTTCCATTTCCAATGCCTTAAAATTGGTTCAATATGGGTATCTTCCAATGCCATCAATTTGTCAAAAAGTCGTTTGTGAAGATATGTTTCCTATCATCAATTTGCGTACCTATGCTTAGGGTTTCATGGGTTCCTTCTGAGTACCTTCTGAGTACCTACACCAAGGACTTCATGTGTTCCTTCGTAGTCTACACCAAAGACTTCATGTGTTCCTTAAAATGTAGTCTGTGTCATAAGACCATGCTACACTATTCATCGAGAGGTATTTAGGATATCTCAGGTTTTCGTTCTAAGAGTTTTTTTGTCAAGTGTGGAAGTACAATTAAGGAACAATTCTCAACAAGTACACTCTAATTCATATGAGTATAAACATTTCTTTCAAGTGTCTTGAGTGGTAGCTACGTACTTTTCCTCTTAATTCATATCCAAAGTTGATATAATCTCCTTAAAAATTTTCATACTTACCCTTAATATTATTGTAAATGAGTCTCATATAAACTTTTGATTTCAATACTTGCTATTACTTTGATCAGGCTTTCTCCGAAGCAACGATAGTAAACATTGACTTCACAGTTATATTGAAACTTCAGTTCTTTTCCTATCTTGTTTCTTTTACAAAACAAAAAACAAAAAGCATAGTTAGGTGGCAAAGTAACGAGCATTGGGTCGGGGAAGTCCCACTCAGAGCAGTCTTGTGTTTACAATAATAACAAGTGGTTAAAGAAATGATCAAGAATGGTGGGGCATCGGGGCTTTCCACCGCCCGTGTACTTACAAATGCAATGAGATGAAGGAAAAGGCACTCAAAGTGGAAGCAGAGTCGGCCATTTTACCCAGCAACCATTGGAGATCAGATCAAGACACCTGTATGATAGCAGAAATCAACGTGGTGGACTCTTTATTATGATGGGTCACACATTGTTTTCAACTCAAATGCAAGCCACCGTAGTTTTCCTTACTCTAAAAGATACTTTGCACCCACCAAGCCATTCAACACAGTCTTACCGCATTTAAGACTCTTACAGTCAACTTCAGCTGTCCCAACTTCTCCAGCTTCTGAAATTTGAAGGAATAATGAGACAAAGGAGTAATAATGTTTGTTCTAAGATTTAATTAAGCTATCATTCTAATAATGCCAATCAGAGAATTCAAACCTGGTGAAAGTAGATTGAACTTCAACAGCTTCCCAGCATCAGGGGTCCTCATGGCTTGGGTCCCTAACAATTGTGTTCTGTCTGATTTGTACTTTTTTTTTTTTGAAAAAAATAGAAAATTCCGAAAGAATTCACAAGCATACAAAAAAGAGAAGCCCACAGGGCGCCAACTACAAGAAGGAGCTCCAATCAAGTAATATGAGATCTAGTGAATAGTTACAAAAAGGCCTACATACTGATGTCCAAAGAGAAATAGAGAATATAATAAAAGACAAAACATTATTGTATCACTACTCTCTCCCTATGAAGATTCAATTATTTCTCACCCCACGGATCCTACAAAATAGCATAAACCCAGCCTGTCACAAAAACAGTCTTTTCTCACAAAGGTGGATGGTGGAGATTGAAATTGTAACATGCGGCTCGCTCTGATACCATTTTGTAAAAGTCCAAGCCTACCACTAGTAGATATTGTGGTTTTTCAGCTTTCCAGGTTTTAAAATGCTTTAACTAAGAAGTTTTCACACTTTTAATAAGAAATGTTTCGTTCCCCTCTCTCCAACCTATGTGGGATCTCACAAGAACCATCTTTTTTATACAAAAGGCCGATGGTGGAGAAGCTCCTCAATCTACTTCATGCATCTTTGAGAGCTCGCAAAGCTATGAGCCAAACATCTTAAAGAAACCAACACCAAACAGCCCGAGGAAAATCACAACTCTGGAGGTTATAATCAAGGTCCTAAAGTGTGTTCTTTCTGATAGTAATCACCATAGTAACCATGGCAAAGTGGCAGAATGTTTGGATTCAATTTGGTCGTGTACTCCAGTATCCAAAGACAAGTAGCAATCAGGGGAGATCTGGATGTTTCTTTTAGCAGATTCCAAGCCAATTTCACAGAGTGGAAGCAGCAGTACGGCTATCCTTCACCTTCATTAACTTTTGGTAGTTCAAAATCGCCCTCAACGTGCACAGTTACCTACAATAGACAAATGAATCAGGAAGTGATACTAAAAATCATGAACGTATGCCCCTCCAGATGATACAAGATGAACATCAGATATGAGATACTTGAACACTTCACGTTGCAAAATGGATACATTTTATTCGGATGTGATATGTTCAGATAAGGGATACTGAAAGAGGGATTTATTGAAGGGTTGATGAGAAGATTTATGAATTTTGAAGAATGCTCTATATATATAGAAAGAATACAAACAGATATCTAGAAAATCTACCTAGAAATCAGAAAATTTGGTAACAAACCAATAAACAAATTAAATCAAAACAAAATCTAATCAAATCAATAATAAATCTAACTACTAAAGAGATTTAATTAGATATTACCCGACAGAAATCTAAACAAATACGTGATCTTTAACAACATCAAACAAGCACGAAAGCCTGTGTAAATCCTCAAGGGCCAAAGCAATCTCCTTCCCCCGTTTGGCAGCCTGTTGGAAGTCCTCAACAAATCATCATTAAAGTCCTCGAACAAATAGAACCTTCTCTAAAGTTGGACGCGTGCGCGTAAATGAACCCTACTCAGAAGGAAGGAGATACTACTATAATCTAAACACTAATAACAACAAAACTAAATTAATGAAATATTAAACAAGAATACAAACTCTTTCTTCACATGTTACAGGGTTTCATGATACTTCACTGATATCTCCATAACAAAAGATAAACCATCAATATTCAAAGACAATAGGAAACAGAAAACAAATGCATGAAAGTCAGATTCTATTTACATTTTACAAGATTGAAACAAACTAATCCGTGGATGCAACAGTACTTCCTGCTCAGAGAGAAGGAACCAGAACATATAATCTTAGGTGGAGATGCTGATCCAAGTAAAGATTCCTATTTGATGCAATGTTAGGAACCTCGACTATCTACCATTGCTTTTGGTTTCCTGAAAATGCCTCATATCAATGGAGTTAATGTTTCTCACTTATAAACCCATGATCCAATGTAGAATACTATAATAAGGAATAATAAACTAACATATGAATATAGTTCCGCGGGATTCAAATTCCTAATAATAATCACTTGCATACTATACAATGATCCAACACTAATGCCTATTCCCTATTACACAACCAAAGTAGTCAAAATTATTATTCATTCACAGGTACAGCCACTAATTCTCTAAACAGGTCGAGCATTATGAGGGAATCAAAACCAATGAAAACATGTGAAGAAAGACATAGATGAGAGCCCAAATGTTCCATTTTATAATAATTTATGTTACATGTGAGCTAAGGAAAATCAGTAGTTCAGAAAAACAATCAACCTACTACGAAAATTTCTCTGCTGGAGCAAGGTTCCCTACTGTTCTACAACATTATTTACACTCCTCATGTTTCACCAAAAATTTCCTTGATCGCTCCGTCTGTTTTCTTCGATTATGACATCAGAATCTTTTCTGGCTGATTGAACTTCTTGTGGGTCAGATGAACCAGGATTCTCCGTCAAGAATTGCTGCCAGAAAACATCATTGACACCAGTTGGTACTGGAGCTTTGACTCCAGCTGCCTGATCTTTCGAGGCTATAGATTCAGGAGCAACGGTTGCCATGGGCTCCAAATTCATGTCAATTCCTGGTGATTTACACCGAAGCTCCTCACTAACTTGCCTGCAAGTTACAGCAGGGCTACTGGCATGACTTACAGATCCACCCAACTCCAGGTTTGAGCTGGAATCAAGTGGACTAATTGTTTGACCATAACTATGGACAATGCCTTCCCAAAAGGTTAGGGATGTCTCAACAAGTTCAAACTGTTCTTCTTTCAAAATTGGATCAAAACTACAATCCATATTTTCTCTACTGATGGTTTGAGTTGTCCCCATCTGATTATCCTCAATGTTATCTTCACTATTGTTGTAAGAAACTCTAGGCAATCTCCTCTTTCTATCAGAAGTTTCCAATTGTGGCAGAAGATCCAAGCGACGTCCTGGTTTATGCAAAAGACGAGCTATCAGACTGATAAATAATTGCATGCCTTGTTGAACACATTGAAATCGATCTTTCAAATTCTGCATTTGCAACACAACTCCTTGATACTCTTGTTCGTGTTTCCGCAACTCGAGAAGAATCTGCTCTTTATCCCGTTTCAGCGTCTCGATGTCATCCTCAAAACTCTTTCTTTCGACTTCAGTTAGCGGGGGAGATACTCCTTGTCCATGGGGGTTCTGTAAAGAATGACTATGAACTGGTTTTCTCCTGTGAATGTTCTTCATCAGGTGTTGCTTACCTCTAACAAAATCATCATTGGCAAATTCCCATTGTTCAGGATGCACCTTCTTGAACCCCTAAAGTAATGAACAAAATGTTCAGAAAACAAAAACAAGGACACAATCACAACAATAAGCAAGTAAATGAAAAACTCATCATCTTACATAAGTATTGAGCTGCCTGATGAAGCTCGAGAAGTTGCTATGCTTAAAGAATTTAGGCAACAAAACTGATGAGAACTCCAGTGGTTTCCAAACAACAAAGCTTTTATCACTTGAACTCCATGAAACAATCGAATTGGTTGAAGGATCATCGACCATATCATATGTTTTGACTAAAAATGGAGGCAACGAAGTCAAGCCGCTTCCCTGAGCTTCATCCATTCTATATCCTAACCTCTCCAGTCCCCAAAATAAGAACCCCCAAATTAAGAAACCAAAAGCTGTACATTAACAACTCCCAATCCACCAAATTGCAAACTGAAGATCGCGTATCAAAATCCTTACAAAAATATCAATACAACTCTTAACAGATTCACCACATCAAACTTCAAGAACAACAACGATAATCCACCAAAGAACTTCAAACCTCAAAAGCAAAAACCCCGAGTTGGGTCTTCATTTAAATCACAAAAACACCGGTGAATCCCAGAAGTTTCCATCGAAGCTTGATTTCCAGGAAAACCCAACTCAGAATTAACGATTTCCCATATGGGATTTTGAAAGAAAATACGAATTTTGCATCGACCCTCCTCCAGTCAACTCGAGTAGAACTTGCTCAACATAGCCTAAAGAAGACAAAAGAACAGAGAGTTGGGGAACGGAGTTTAACGGTTTGAACTGAAGTAATAAAATACTTAATGAAATCCAATCAATTCAATTGAAATAACAAAAAAGTGGAAACGAAAGACGATTAAAAAATGCCCTTTGATTCAACAAACAAAAAGAGGAGGGGGGAAAAGAGACGAACGATTAATAATCCAAACTCTGAGGACACCCGTACCTCCTTTCCTTCGCTTTGATTGGGAGAAACGTACATGGAAACTCAGAAATCTTTGATTGATGCACTGCCTAACACGGGCTTGAAGAAAATTATCAGTCACTAAAATGGCGGAAAAAGATAAAGCGCTGGAACTTGAAGGATAAGGCAACCATTATTAAGTATCCGATTCTTAAAATGTCCCAAATTGAAGGAGGCGCACGTGGAAGATAATGAATCGCCATATCTCAAAATTACGAACTACTCCCTCTTATTTTCCTTTTTTGGAAAAAAAAAATAATTCTCTGTCAATTTATTTTGGGCAAAATATATATTCGATCCTTGTATGGTAAATGTTTATTTGTTAAATTTCAAATTGTTTTTTTTTTAATCTTCTACCCAATTGAGTTAAATTTAATATTACAAATTTTTATTCATCAAATAGTTTACCAAATATATATCAATTTATATCTTGTAGTTTGAAAAAAAAAATCATATACATTTAAAAAAAAAAAGAATTAGAATAATTTCATTATATTTTTTTTACGAAAATTTGAACTCAAAACGTTGTGACAACGACCTACCAAAAAAATTGAGACTCGAACTAAATGGTTTCAATTCTTATTCACATGATTTCAAGTCTTAATTTTCACAAAAATAATTTAAAAGGTTCCATCATTTCTCCTTTAACAACTTAATTGAAGTGGTGTATCATTTCGTGTATAGATGTAATCTAGACCATAAATATAAAACATTACGATCCAACATAAAGACATGTTTGAACACAATCACGTATTTTAGCTCATTATAATTATTCAAGTCGAAGTAGTTAAAAAAAAAAACAAAATAATATATTTTGAAGGCTGAGATAAGTTTGACAAATAATGGCATCTTTTGTATATAAAAAAAATGTTATTTTATATATGAATACGACTATTATAGATGAGAATATATTTTTAGTTGCCACATTATGATATATAAGTGTAGGCATATAAAAAATGCTAAATATATAGTTATGTTGGTGATTTTTTTAAAACATAAAAGAAAAAGACAAACCACTAACCCAAAACGACACCACTTCATTTTCATATGTGCTCACTAAATTATTTATGGGTTCTTATTTTTGAATTCCAAATTATGCCATAGATATTGTTATTAAGATTTATAATCATTTTGGGATTAATAGATGCTTTTTTCTAATTATTCCACAAAATCATGTTGAATTATCTTGAATTTTAAACGGATTATGGCATAAAAATCATATTTTATTTAAAAATTTTATTATTACTTTTAAACGAAATATTCATACATTTTACGAAATAATATTAATATCCTTAACTTTTTATTTTAAAAATATTAAAAAAAATTTAAGGGAATTTAAATATATTTTTAATGTGTAATTAATGGTTACTCAAAAAAACTTTTAAAACATTAAATAGTATTAATGATATTTGTGAAAGGTTAAAAATATTTTATATACAAAATTTTAACCAATTTTATCTAACTAATTAATAAGAGTAAAAACTTATATGATTATTTTTTATAATTCAGCCGTGGATCCCACTTTACTAAAACTTAAATCCAACCTGAAAATTTATAATTGTTTTTTTTTTTTTATAAAAAAAGAAAACAAAAAAATAAAAACAAAGAGAGAGAGAGAAATAGAAGAAATAAAGCGCATGACAACTAAAAATGTCCCCCCGCACTCGCCGTCTCATCAACAGCCGGACTCCATCCCTCAATTTTCATTATAATTTAATATCGTCTACACGTCCGCGGCGCACGTGTGGGCTGTTCACCACCCACTACCATTAACTGCGGAATTAAATTAAACCATTCTCTTGTTATGTTTAAGAAACAATTTTTTTAAAGGAAAAATTCAATTCTCTTACCCTTTCAATTCCATCGCTTTTAAACTATAAATTTAAATAATTATTGTAATTAATATCTTCCCCTTCAATAAATTACATAAAATTCAACTTAAAAAGCATTTAAAATCGATCAAAATAATGTCTAAACTTAATCACAAAGGTACACTAAAAAGAAAGAAAAAAAAAATACAAAATATAAATAAATGTAAAATAAAATAAACAATATTTCACTCCTATATCCATCTAGAGTCAATAAGCTAGCAGCTACAGAATTATTAAAAAACAAACAAACAAATAAATAAATAAAAGACAATACGACACCAAAAGTTCTGCATCAACTATAAGTTATGGTATAAGATTACCAAAAGACCCTCAAACTCGAGCTACAAATTGAAACCTGACCCATAAATGGGCCTCAGCCCAATCCTATAGATTCAAAGTGTATTTGGCCATATATTGAATTATTAAATTTATATGTACCATTTAGCAATATTTGAGAGTGAGAATTTGCCTCGGTTAATGTTTTTTGGTTATTTTTTCACGACGTTAATTTTGTGAATTACATTTTTGTGTTCATAGTGGGTAAATTGCATTTTTGTAGCTAAAAATATATATTTATATATATTTATCTCTATTCAACCCATATTAAATATATATTTATATATTACAAAATAAATTAATTATTGATGAACTAATTATAATATTTAAATTAAAGACTAGGTCTAATATTAGAATTTAAATTTTTAGAAATTAAATAATTTTGTTAATAAAAATTACTGTGGAGAATGAAAATCTTTTTAAAAATATAATAAACCGGTAAAAATTACCGGCGGGAAACTCATTTTCCACAAAAATAAAATGAAAAATTTCGTGGGATGTGAAATGAAATAGTTGGCGAGGATGGAGACGCCCTCCCCATCCCGTCCTTTGAACATTTTTATCTGAAACTTGATCGATTCCCATGTCATTCATGATTGTTTATTACTTATACAATTCTTCAGGTATAATTGAATTTTACATAGGTAAAATTATATCTAATGGGAATCAAACCGGGATTTTGAATCGAAGTGTTTACATTATCTCGACCTTTACAGCATATGGATCTCATCATTTATGTATCAAAACAAAAATATCTACACGAAAAAACGTCTATTCAAAACATTAGAAAGTGGTGAAGTGTCTGCCCTACAAAACCAGGAGGATGAAAAGACACGAAGACTTTCCAAATCGAGGAAAATGAGCTCCACCATGTGGGGTCTCTCCCACGCTCTGGATTTCTATTAGGCGGTGATGTAAACCAAGGGTGTCATTATCATTTCTTCCAAAGGACATCAATGACTGGATGGATGCCACGTGGGCTTGAGGGTAAAATCTTAAATACGCCAAATTTCAATTAGGAGTGTAGCCAGCAAGGAAATGGTGCCTACACCCGGGACCACAGTACGCTCTGGGAGACCGGGACACGTGGCTAGACTGTGATCCTTCAGGCTCATTTGTGATTCGTCGAGAAAAAGACGTTGGTTAGGGCGTGATTCTCACGTGGAGTGGCTTGCCTGGAAGGCATGAGACTAATTCCATAAATAAATAAAAAATCGTAAACACGTGTCTACTCCGTGATTATGGGATGGGAGGAAACAAAAGAACAAAAGGACACATTCGTAATTTCGCAGTACTAAAATACGCATACACCCAACGTCTCTCTCTATTTTTATTTATTTGTTTTATTCATAATTATATATTAAAAAAAAAAAAAGAAAAAGCAAAAGAAAAATCCCCCAAATCACCGGCTGACTGGCTCTTATAATAACAACACATTTTCTCACAAATTTTCTCGAGAGAGAAACTTTCATCCATTTCGCACCGTTTTACAGTGATTTTGTTGTTGTTCTTCTCCGGCCACCGATCTTCACAATTTCCGCTCTGAATACGAAATCTCCGATTCAGAGCTTGTTTTGTATGACATCGGGGACGAGAATGCCCACTTGGAAGGAGAGGGAGAACAACAAGCGCCGTGAGAGGCGCCGACGTGCCATCGCCGCGAAGATCTTTCTCGGCCTGCGAATGTACGGAAACTATAAGCTTCCCAAGCACTGCGATAATAATGAGGTCCTCAAAGCTCTCTGCGTTGAAGCTGGGTGGACTGTAGAGGAAGACGGCACTACCTATCGGAAGGTATCTTACTCACTCTCCCCACTTTCTCGCGATCGCTCTCTTTTATTCCGAATGTGGCTATGTTTGTTGCACTGTTTCTCTCCTCTTTTCAATTGCTAGTTGAAATTAGGTTGGTTGGATTGATTGATTGATGTTAGGTTCTTGTTTCTGTAATTGCTTCGAGTATGGATCGGAATTTGCGAAAATGATGCTAATATGATCTGCCGTTGCTGGAACGTTGTACCTCTCTCTGTAATTTTATGACATTGTCTGTTTTAGACCTAAGCACGCATAATTTTGTACAGACAAATTTGGTAACAATAGAAATGTTGTCTTCATTATGGAAGTGGGGTTGGGCATAGTAAGTTGTTTCGATTTGGGGAATTTTAGAATCACGGACCTGTTAAGAGAGTCCGACGGTCAGCTCTCAACCTTAACTCTGTTGACTGCTTTACTTTTTTATTGGAGCCCACTATAAGATTCGTTCGGGTTCAGTCCTTGGTGGAAGGCGACGAAGATTTCTCTGAGCTTTTCAGACGCCAACACCGAGATGTTTCCAACACAAGGAACTGCTTCTACGAAACCATCAAAATTAACCTCCACTTGTCTCCGAAAGTTTAGCTACTTTTTAGGGATGAATTTGTTCTTTTTGAAGCCAATTTTATCTCCTTGATTCGAGCTTATACTTCCGTTGGTTTCGTTAATTATCCAAACCCATTGCCAAGCTTCTGCAGAAACACACATTTTAGGCGCTGGGTTTTGCCCAACTATGTTAAATTGCACCAAATGATTGCCCTGGATTTCTCCCCTCAGCAAATGATGTCAAAAGGAGCAAGAAAAGCTTCAGTGTCCAGTTTTCCTCTGCACCCACCAACTCACCCACTAATCTTTTTATCTCCTTTAGTTCAGCATGCTGGTGTACAGTGGATGGATTTCAGTGTCTGCAATTTCTTAGCAGTATCATAGAGCAATGACGGTCCCTTTTCCTTTTGGCTTGCTTGCTTTCGTCTTTTACAAAATCAACTAATGGCCACTCTTACCGAGATTCCCGGGTTTTATTGCTATACTTTTTTTTTTTTTCCAGTTAATTGAGAGCACAGCTTGATAATGGAGCTGGGCCAGCAAGCTGTGTGAAAATCTACATCCCAGTCAGCTCAATGAATAATTTCAGACCAAGCATTCACGATTCTTCCTTGACTACATGCGTTTTTTAATTAAAAAAATCAGATCTTTTTGGTCCTTTTCGGCAAACAACGTTTCCTTTTTAGCATTATAACACGAGGATACAGGAACACGCTGGGGGACAACTTGTAGTGGGGTATTTTGTTTTCTTTTGGCGTCACTTGTATTCGGTCATCATCATATTCGTCAATGATACTTCTCCAGCATAGGTCGATCTTGTATGATTTGAATCAACTTTCTCAGTCATTGATCAATCTTCTAATCGTTGAAATTGTTTTGCCCGGAGTATATTACCAATTCTTCCTTCTACCGTTGTACTCAAACTTAGGATGGCTTCTTTTTCTGCAATTGTTGTGGATTGTCTTTCTTTCACTGATGATTAATTGACACTTCGCAGGGATGCAAGCCTGTGGAACGCGATATCATGGGCGGATCAGCTTCTGCAAGTCCATGTTCATCTTACCAGCCGAGCCCATGTGCATCTTATAACCCTAGTCCTGCGTCTTCTTCCTTCCCAAGCCCTTCCCGTTACGCCATTAAAGGCAATGACAATGCTGCTGATCCCAATTCCCTCATCCCATGGCTGAAGAACCTCTCCTCAGCTTCATCACCAGCCTCCTCCAGGCTGCCTCACCATCTTTATATTACTGGTGGCTCCATAAGTGCACCTGTTACCCCTCCGTCGAGCTCCCCAACTGCTCGAACACCCAGAAAACCAAATGATTGGGACAATCATCCAGCAGTTGCTCCTGCTTGGGCTGCACAGCGTTTCTCATGTTTGCCTGCATCTACCCCTCCGAGCCCTGGGCGTCAGGTGTTGGCTGATTCAGCATGGCTTGATAGTATGCGGATTCCTCAAAGTGGACCATCGTCACCAACCTTCAGCCTTGTGGCTAGGAATCCTTTTGGATTTAAGGAGGCAATGTCTGCTGGAGGTCCTTCATTCGGATTTAAGGAGGCAATGTCAAATCCAATGTCTGCTGGAGGGTCTCGTAATTGGACTCCTACACAGAGCGGGACGTGCTCGCCCACGGTTGCTGCGGGCACCGATCATACTTCAGATGTTCCTATGACGGATGGGACTGCAGCGGAGTTTGCCTTCGAAAGTTGTTCGATTGGGTTGGTGAAGCCTTGGGAAGGAGAGAGAATTCATGAGGAATGCATCTCTGATGATCTCGAACTTACACTTGGGAATTCAAGGACGCGGTAAACTCACTTTATCTCCTCTTAATGCAATTTTGGCGACTTGCTAAGTGATTATATGTTGTCCAAACGCAGGTGAAAGAAAGTCAGGAGTTCTTAAATTTGGTTCTTTCTTCAAAGGGAAAAATTCAACTGATGTCCGTGTGTATTGGTTGGCAAAGATTTGCCCCTCGGTTGACGGTTAATTCTTTCCTTGATAATTTGTTGTTTTCGTTCCTTCCAGAAAGAAAATTATATTCCACCAATGGATTCCCTGCCTTCGTTGTTGAAAGGGATATTTCATTGCCATATAATATTCAATTCAATTGGATGTCAAAGCTCTCACCTACTGCTCCATTCCTTCCCCTCCAATTACAATGCAGTTAAACATTTCATAACATTACTGAAATACTTCGGAGAAACTAATGAAAATATTGGTGGCAATCGCTCCATAACATCATTGTATATACAATACTTCCAAGAATCGGATCACATTTCAATTTTGTTTTACCTTGCCCCTTTTTCTGTACATACTGTGCATAAGAGACTATAGGTAACAGCTTATTGACAGAAACAAAGAATGATGGGGAAGGAGCTATACAATTCGGGTACCAAACAAGGCAAATGCCTCACCTGAATGAAACTATAGAATTTTTCTCATCAGGTGAATTGAGATGGATGATTAATTTACACTGAGCTCGATCAATTCTCGATCTTCTGGTAAAGATCACTGAGAGCACGATATAGAGTAGCAGCGGCAGGTGGTCTTGGGAGTGAACCAAGGAGAATGTCGGTGGCACTTATCGACTGATTACCATAGAATCGAGCATTTTCCTGTGTCCGAGTGGTAACAATACTTCCTTTAAGTGAACATCCAACAAATGCACCTGGAAAGGGATACATAAATGTTATTCAAACACAAAACCAGAAGTAAAAATGAGATCTTATAAATTACAGCAATATGCAAACCAAAATATTGCTTTCCAATCATATAATACCAGAAAAATGGCTTAAAAAACATGTGTAAGTTGAAACAGCCGACCTTTACTAGAACTATATGTATAACAGGAGCCAAAACCACCATCACCAGCTCGTATATCGGCTTCGGCCGTCCTCCCAATTACTCCAACTGCAGCGCTCACGCCAGCCCCAATGGCTAGGTGCATATTTCCGCTGAATGCATTAACAGCCTCACTTGTCCTCAAGACGATGATAAAGTCGGTCAGTTCTCCTCCAATCTGTGTAAAGAGAGGCAATGGCCAAATTATAGTTTAGATGTTCACTGGAGAAGAGACCAGGATATCACAAACTGAGAAAGACTTGAAACTACTCGTGAGTTGTTAGAGTAGAAACACAGACCTGAGCTCCCCACCCCATACCAATTGATGAAATTGCAGATGGAGGAGACCACGAGCCATCTTCTCTGCGTGCAACGACGAGACCAGTTCCTACATTGTAAGTAACCACTGCTCCCATTTTGACAGCGGTAATAATTGCTAGACCTTTTGCTCGTCCTAGAATGGCATCTGGAATTAGCTTCTCAGGCTTTAAACAACCCACCTGAGCAACAGCAAGATAACATAACGAACGTTAAGGAAAACTTGAAAAAATATAGAATCTTTATTCAACAAACTTCCTGTAAAATTGTCAGAGAAATGGACGGAGAGAGTATGTAAGATCCCACATCGGTTGGGGGGAGAACGAAACATTTTTTATAAAGATCCCACATCGGTTGGGAGGAGAACGAAACATTCTTTATAAAGATCCCACATTGGTTGGGGGGAGAACGAAACATTCTTTATAAAGATCCAACATCGGTTGGGGGGAGAACGAAACATTCTTAATAAAGATCCCACATTAGTTGGGGGGAGAACGAAACATTCTTTATAAAGGTGTGGAAACTTATCCCTAACCGACGCGTTTAAAAACCTTGAGGAGAAGCCCGAAAGGGAAAAGACCAAAGAGAACAATATCTGCTAGCGGAGGGCTTGAACTGTTACAAATGGTACCAGAGCTGGACACTAGGCGATGTGCCAGTGAGGAGGCTAAGCCCCCAAAGGGGATGGACACAAGACGATGTGTCAGCAAAGACACTACGAGGCGATGTGCTAGCAAGAATGCTGGCCCCGAAGGGACTGGATTGGGAGGTCCCACGTCGATTGGAGAAGGGAATTAATGCCAGCAAGGGCGCTAAACCCCGAAGGGGGTGGATTGTGAGATCCCACCAGTTGGGGAGGAGAATGGAACACTCTTTATAAGGGGTGGAAACCTCTCCCTAACAGACGCATTTTTTAAACCTTGCTAGCGGTGGGATTGTGCTATCAGTGGCCTTGTGCTATCACAGAAAAAGTATTTCGTTCATTAACAAATAATAAAAATCCATTTTTGACTATCAAACCTAATATTCTGGATAGTTTTGAATTACAAAAATGAGATAATCATACTTCTGAGGAAGAGTCATTTCAAACCATATGCATCAACGACCAATTGAACCAACACCCGAGACTTCAATACTTACCTTATTATAAGCCCGAATGGTGTTTGTAGCTTTATAGATCTCATGTTCCATCGACTGTCCCCAAGGGAAGTTTACCCATGACCTCATTGTACTGAGGTCCGTAAGGTCACGGGTCGGTAACTGCGCAGCATTACTCACTTTATCCATTAAATATGGCTGCACAGATTCAAGCCGAACGTTACATACATCGCATACTCGCTGTGGATCCGCAACACGAAATTTTACAGGCAGCAAGCTCCTCCCCTTAGAGCAATCCCCACAAAAGATTCCACCACAAAAGCGGCAGTGATGCCTGGAGCACATGATTGGATGAAACTTCACACCACATAACATACAAGAAGAAGCAGCGCTATCAGACAACCATCTGGGTGGCTCAGATTCAAGAATTTCTCTTACATTTCCAAAATTTGCTTCAGTGAGCGAATGAGCCAGTTCATTCAAAGCCTGCTCCACCATATGGCTAGATATCCATGACAACCTATACCCACTGTTACTCATGGAAGTCATCGAACTGACCTTTCCTCGTGCTGCAAGCAACATTTCTACTATCACATCCCACATTGTTAACTCTTTTTCTACCTCAAAGCACTGGCTCCACCCTGATTCACCTTCAGGAAAGCAACCTCCATTCAAGTGAAAACCTTTAGCCCACTCTTCATGATCAGTTTCAGACATGGGTGGAACAGAAATTGGTATCCAGACTCCAGTATCTTCCAACATAGGCGAATCATAATAGAAATAATTTCCCCTATTCTTTTTAAAACAGTTTTGCATTTCCCCAGTGCTATGGAGTGACTCAGAATCAGTTTCCCTAAATTCAAGAGCTTTTTCACCTGGAGAAAACTGGGGGCCCAATGAAATGTTAAGCTCTCGAAATGAATCAAGTTTTGAATAGCCCTACACGATATTATAATCATATGATTGGCCAGAAAACGAACTTTAATATCAGATAATCGACCAGGAACAAAACCAGAACAAAAATATTTGAAGAAAAACAGAACTACGACGTAATTGAACCGAAAGATATGCATAGACTTACCAGAGGAGAACCCGGAAAGGAATTGGGATGATCGGAAGCTCTTGAAGCCAAAGTTTCAAAGGCTTGGGAATCGGTCGGAGAACACGGATGATTCTCCTCCATCGAAGAAAATTATGCACCTAGATCCGATGGCCAAGAACGATCGATCACACCCAGATGAATAAAACCCCTGAAGAATTCGAAAGCACAATGAAATTCTGAAATTGAAGAAATTTGTGGAAGAGACACACGGATGGGTCTCCGTTGTTTGTTTTACGTCTCCCTCACGCTTACGTTTCTATGCTCTCTACATAAATCCCTAATTTACTCTTATTTGAAAATTTCAGCCTTTGGATTATATTTCAAAAGAAATATAAAATTAAAAAATTATAGTGTTATTTAATTAGTTCTATAAAAAATAAAATTTTTATTTTTATTTATTTATAATGAGACCAACAAAATTAAATAGCTAAACTAAAAACTGAAAGTTTATTGTAGCTGACTAGCTGTGGGATTCTAGCTCTTCGTCCGTTTCCATGGGAAGGAGCTCCGATCTTCCAAAGCAGCTCTCCATTGTTCTAGTCTCCTTCCTCTTCTTCTTCTTCTTCTTCTTCTTCTGCGTTTCATGTTATGGTTTATCCGGAGATCGGAAATCGAACTCGGCCAGTTCGAATCGCAGTTTATTGAGCTTTCAGAGAAGGAGAGACCAACGGATCTTTAATTGCGGCGAGAAGGTTTCGGCGTTACAGTGTTCCCAGAGCCCCAACTGCCGGTGGTGCCGGAGCGAGGTTATTGACGATACCTGCTTCACCAGAACTGAGGCTTTGAGATTGCCCCAACAGGTTTTTTCCTGTGATTGAAATTCCTCTCCGTCTCTAATTTTTATTGTGTTCTGTTGCTTTCCGGCTGTGGGTCATGAGTTTACTTCATATCTTTTGATCTTCATGGCTGCTAGGGTTAGCTCTTTTCTTCAAACCTTGGGACTCTCCAATTTTGAAAGATCAATATAGTGCAGATTGTCTTTAAACTTATGAGTGTATTTTAATCGAACTTGCGGATTGGTTGGGTTTGTAATGTGTTGTATGTACAGCGATTGCTTAAAATGCTATGAATCTTTGTTCATGTGTTCATGTTAGTCTTCAATCGAGTTTTCTTCATACTCTTTTCTCTTTTTTCTTATTTGTGGTTATCAAGTCTCACTTCTAAAGATGCCTTAGTTACTGAATTTCAACAAATAACTAAATCCTGCCAACGGAAACAATACTTCTCTCATTTACTGTAGAAGTAAAAATAATTTTAGGAATCACGAACCTACGTAGTAGTATGATATCGTCCACTTTGATCGTAAGCTCTCATAACTTTGCTTTTGGTTTTCCCAAAAGAACTCATAGCAATGGAGATGTATTCCTTACTTATGAATCCATGATCATCCCGTTAATTAGCTAATGTGGGACTCCCTCCCAACAATCCTCAATCATCCTCTCCTCGAACAAAGTACACCCTTTCTGACACTTGAGTCACCTTTGACTATACTTTTGAGGCTAGCAGCTTCTTTGTTCGACACTTGAGGATTCGATTAACATGACTAAATTAAAGGCATGACTTTGATACCATGTTAGGAACTATGACTCCATAATTGTATGATATTGTCCACTTTGAGTATAAGTTCTCATGGTTTTGCTTTTGGTTTCCCAATAGACCTTATACCAATGGAAATGTATTCCTTACTTATAAACCCATGATCATTTCCTTAATTAGCTAACGGGATTCTCTCTTAACAATCCTCAATACACCTTTGA